TTTGCAGGAGCACGTCGCGCCTCGAGGCTGGAAGCTTCGACGCGATCCCCCACAAATGCTCTCTGCCTGCGACTTGGGAGGTCGCAGGCGCGGTGGCCTTCTTGCGCTACTCACCAGGCTTCAACCTGTGAAACTCCCGGATGAAAAATGAGCTCGTGATGGGTCCTGGAAGTCTTCACGGCTTTTTGAAGGGCTTTTCAACCCACAGGTTCGCACCGGCGGCTGCAGAATCCACAGACAAGTCTTGAGAGATTTTTGTGCAGCCTTTGGCTCGGACTCTTTCGCTTTCGCATGTTGTAGCACATACCAGAGACCCATAAAACGTTGCCAGACATGGGCTGCGGCGGCAGCTGCCCTTGCACGGGTATGCAACCTGTCTCGTGCAGTGCTCGGAAGCCCGTGCGCGTCAGTCCAGAAGGTGCCGTACACGCGCCAGACCAAGCCATCCACAATCTCTATGTCAAGGAGCTCAACCTGTATCTTCATAAGATACACAGAAAGCCGGAGAAGTTCAAGATGGCTGTCGAGATGCGCAGAATCGAGGCATGCTTAAGCGAGTGCAGTTCAGAGAACTCAAACCACAAGTCCAAGCGCAGGGATGAAACCTGTTATGATGCAGCTTGGCTCTCCATCTTTACCGATGAGATCAAAGACTGAACTTAGTTTTGTCATTCCTCGGCAGCTGCGACGCCGTGGAGCATTCAATCTATCTACTCGTTTCCTGATTTCCTGAGATCCTGCTCCCGCAGATTGAACTATCGGCTTTTCCCTTCTGATTGTAGGGAGAATGAGGAGTTTCTGATGTCGGGCCTTTTTGCAGGTTCAGAAGCTTTTCGTGCCGTCTGTGTGGGTTATGTGTTCTATCTGAAGAGTTCGGGGTGGTTCGGTATTGTGGTTGCTGATGGCCTGCTGACGGCATTAAGTTATCGCGGCCAGAGTTGTGTTTGTTGTCCACATGTTCGGATAAGGCCCATGTAAACAAGCAGTTTGACAACAACGTGCAGCTCAGGCCAAACTGAATGTTATCTCAAGATAAACTGCACGACCCTCGCTATTTCGGGGTCTCCTAATTGGCTCACATCTGAGCTGGTTTCGAGCCGTGAGCTGGAGAATCTGTTTCACAACATCCATGCTCTGCTCCTGGCTGCTATGCGGTGCCTGGTCCAATCCAATCTTGTCACCTGGTCGGGGACATTGTGCTTGCCGCACCTTGCCATGTCCAGTTGCTCCTGTTTCAGTGACCTATGCCCAAGCCCAACAATCCGTCCGTCCTGACAAGCTCTTCTTGCGAGCAGATGCTCTGTAGACTGCTCCCATTTCAACGGGTAGCTTGAATGAGCCCCCGATACACCTCGATGACCTTGGTCATCGTGGGCAGGCACCATTGTTGTAGCATGTTGTAGTCATCTGAGGTCCGCACGACCATATAAACGTGTGCGTCCTGCTGGGGGATAGCGGCAAGTGTAGCTTGCGTTGGTTAGTCGTTTGGGTTTCGTATTTGATCGGGTCTTGGGGGCCTCTAGGCACGAGTTGTATCCTGCGTGTGTGTGACAGAAGCACAGGGAAAACAGTTGAGCTGGAGTTGTGCGCACCCGGTGGAACCAGTGCAGCAAGTGCACGTGTTGCAAGTGATGAGGTGGTGGCACAAAGATTTTCGGCACTTTCACAGGTACAGGGCCGGGCTGAGTGCTTGCACGGACACAGGGGCAAGGTCCTTATAATGCTTTCGCAACTGTTTCTGGCGCTTTCTTCAGCCCCACACAGACGTTGCGTGTGGTTCTAAACACAGCTCAGGTGGAAATTCCAATAACGCGCTGGGACATTTCTGTTTACTACTGTGAAGACCCGGATGAGGCTCAGGCCGCACACTGCACGTCGTGGTTGCTATGCTTGTAGTGGCTTTCCGTGCCGCCTGTGCAGCCTTTCCAATCGGTGGTCAAGCATCAGTCGTGACCCTGCGCATGATTCATTGGGTGCAGCTTGAGCGCCCATGTTTGCATTGTGGTCAGCATTGTGGTAGAATGTTAGTCACAGGTACGTCGAGGGTATCGAACTTTTTGACCACAAGTACTTCCAAATTAACATCAACGAGGCGGGGCCGTGGTTGTTCCGACTCACTTCGTGCCCCAGAGCCAGAACCATCAAGACTGAGTGGTCACCCCATCTGCAGAGGCACGAGGTATGGACCCCATGCAGCGGCATGTGCTGGAGGCAGCGCGGCCGACGCCTCCCATCATGAGACACACACGTCTTCGTGGAAGGGACGTACCATGCAGGTCGGTGCTCAGAACCTCTTCAAGATGGGGACAGAGCTTTGTTAAGAATGTACCGCCGCCCTTAACTTTTGGAGCTGCGCTTGTATCCTTTGGTAATGAGCATCGCCCTTCTGCATTTTGCCTGCGAAGTCTTTCCTGGATTCGGCAGGATCACGAAAGATATTGCAAGCCGCTTTCCTGGCTGAGTTGAACCCTTTGCGCAGAGTATGGCCGCCGAGGCAGCCAGGCTGAAACAGTGTCTTGTTTGGCACATGCCAGGAACTCCGCATCACGCTGGCGTGTCTGTTGGCCTGGACAAGGACTCCGAAGCAGTGCAACAATCCCTAAGTGGCCTGGGATGATGCCCAGAGCTATCGGAGAATCCAGGATGACTACGACTCACTCCCCAAGACTCCTGAACTGTGCCAGCCTTACAACAGCAGCATCAATAGCATCCTGTTTCGAGCGCAAAAGCCAGGCAAGGCTCGGCGAACGTCCAAGCCATCATTGCAAACCGCTTCAGCTTCATCTTCAACCTCAAAGGCACCGTTTGACGATCCTGCGGAACTGAGAAGGACTTTGCCGAAGAGTCAAGTGTATAGAGGTCCGAATTATGTTGCTGACACCGCTTGCTCGGCTTCGCTCACAGCCACGCATCTGGTCTACGGCTTACTTTGGTGCCAAGCCGCGAGTGAGCGATGCGGCAATGGTGGCATCTTCAAACATCTTCAACTATTACTACATATAACTACAGTCCTTGCTTGTGCTGCAAGCCTGAACTGAGGCCAAGTTCATGCTCAGAGATCAGACGCACGCATCCCAGTCTGTCTCGCAGTACTGTGCTTGATGTAAAGGTCAGGTCCAGCATCCTGTAGGCTACAAGGTGAATGCCAAAGTACTGGCCTGTGCAACGCGTGTCCAGGATAGACAAGATTGAGTTCCATATCGCTCTTGGTATTCATCAGTGCTTGTCGCGGCGGCCTTACTGCGCAGGTTAGCAGAGGGCAATGCGGCCGAGTTGACGTATCAATGCGTTGAACCTTTGCCAGCCAGGCCATTCCCTTTCGTGGGCAGCTCGCAAACCCACATGACCTCCGCAACTCGGCTACTCACCTCCGGACTGCCAGACTCAATGTGGATTTAGAAGGATTTAGACATAGTGTCACTCGTGCATGTAGGCGAACGGTCTTGACTGGAAGCAGCACACCGGCGGCAGGCGCGATGCCGTACGTTCAACGCCACAGCTGGTGGCTACATGCGTGGTGATGGCTGCCGGGGCCTCTGGCAGGGTCGGAGGGGCGGAGACCTGAGAACTCGCCGACTTGTGCGAGGCTCCGGCCTGACGCTCAAGCCCGGCGACTTGCCAGACGAGCGCGATGCCATTTGGCGCGGCTCCATGGCCACCGGCACAGACGGCACAGACTCACGGCCCACGGCTTCTGCCGCGGTCTTCTTGTCCTTTGGTCAGGTCGGCCAAAACGGCAAGTCAGCGACTCTCACAGCCCCGAATGGCTTTCCCGGCTGGACCTACTCGTAGCCTGCGCTCCTGTGCCTGCGGGACTGCCAGGCATCTCGCAAGAAGAGGTCATCTGGAAAGCCATTCGAGAGGCTGCCTGTTTTGTAGGGCCGTTGTAGCCGTGTCTTTGCCAAGTCCAAGACTCACTCTTCAAGGCCAAGATCTCTCCGACTGAGTCTGCCTCCCACCACACGTCAGAAGCGAATAGCTCGGCCGGACTGCACTAGAGTCAGTCTGAGGTCCTGTGTCTGGAGCTGCCACGGAACGGGGACCTCGCTAGGCAGCCTCACAGCTTGAAGGTCTCGGGCACACTTAGAGCCTGACTGATAAGGAGATCCCATCGAAGTTGGCGCAGTTCGCAAGATCCAGAACAAGGTCGGCAACTGGTGCCAAGTGAGGCCGCAGGTCGCGCGCAGCCTCTCTGCCTATTGGACATGTGCAGGAGCAGCGCGACACAACGCTACTTGTCGTCACGAACAAGTCACAGACTGGGCATTTGGAAGGCTCTTTCGTTGCGCTGCGGGAGGCTCTCATGCATGTGCTCGTTCCAGTGGTTCTGTCAAGTGCAGGTGGAGCTGCCATGACATCTTTGCTGGCAGCAGTGTTCCAGGCAGGACTGTTCTCTTCAGGAACGAGAATCTGGTTGGTTTTCTTCCCGTTGCCTGCCTCCGTGAGGAGTCCAGCATAGTAGTCCTATGCATGCACTAGGTGAAGGCTTCGTCTGCGATACCCTGCTGCCACTTACGTCAGCTAAATCCGTCGCGGATCCCAGAACAACTGGACGGTCGATTTGTGTCGCTTAATTCCATAGCTTCATGGAAGTACTGCTGAGGCACCTGGACCAGACCAATTTCAATGCAGTGTTCAACAGCGAGTTGAACTCCTATCAGTACTCGCAGGCAGACTTTTGAAAGCACAAGGTTTTGCATCTGTATGGCCTGGCGCATCTACCCAATCGGCAGGGCAACGTGCACGTCTCCTCCTTCGGCTTCGGTCGCACAGACAGATGCGTTTCTGAGGTTCCGCCTGGCCCCTTGCAGTCTGTAGCATTCAAGGTGGCACAAATGCCCACGCCATCTTCTGGGGAGAGAACGTTTACCATGCCTCTCGGCATCCTCAGGGCTGGGTACCGTGCACCACGGAAGCAGGAGTTGCAGAGTCATTTTTGGAAGGGATGGAGAGCATCTCCGAACATCCAACCTCGCTCGAGCAATCCCATCTTCCCCAGGGTTCCTCGAGCTTTAAACGGTGTCTCAAGACACGAGGCACCAAGCAATGCAGAGCTCTACCAGAAACGCATCTGGACTGTGCATAGGGCCGTGCTACTCGCTCCAGCCGTTAATCCACCGAGATGGGGTTTGCCGGGAGGAGCATGTCGCCGCCAGAAGTGAGGGTCAATGGCCTGTCCCTGAGACACTCGAAGTTGTGAAGCAAAGAGCACTGCGCGGCAAGCAGGGCTTTCCAAGCTCAGGAAGTGACCCTGCTTTGTGGGATTGGGACGGTCCGGACCAGGTCAGACATGCCAGCTGACACCTGATGCCCCTCCGAAGGTGAGTGCGCCCTGTAAGGTGATTCTCCCAGGGGACAAGTACTCCATCGAAATGAATCCTGACGATCCACCCAACGCTCCGCAGCGGTGGTTCAAAGAGGCACGGCTTCCCGCATTTCTGCTATTGTATTGGAGATCGGCTCTTTGCCCTGCAGGACACCGGGGTTGAGCACGACGAGGGCGAGGATGAGGTCTACTGCCTCACAGGCACATCTTGGTTCACTTCTTGAGCTGTTCAACCCATTCAAGCAAGTTCATGAGTCGAATCAGAGGCCCTTTCAATGAATGGGATCTTGAGCAGATGGAGGACAACGATCCTCCCATTCATTAGTACGAGTCAAAGACTTCTAAGCTATTGAATACTGCAGCGGCATTTAGATCCGTCTAGGGTTACGTTGCCAGGACGGACCAGTTCCGGGTCTCTGGACCCTAACGGTTGGCCCTCGGCTGGAACATGACAAGTTTTTTGGCCATCCATGTAGCTGAGGTCAAGGTGCCAAGCAGTGGACAGGTGGAATTCCGCATCTTAAGGAATGGGAACGAAGACGAGGCAACATCCATCATGCAACCCGCGAGTTTTGCAATGAGTCACTGCTTCAGCTCCAACAGGTCATCTATCCTGATATGGACAAGTGCTCTCAAAAGCTCACGCCCATTCATGTGCCTTTGCGCCAGCTTGAGGGTGCAGACTCTGTGGCCATGTTCAGTTTCGTGTTGAATACTTGCATGCACGCATCAGGGGCCCTCGAAAGATGATCAGAGGAACGCCAAGAACACTTGGCTCGCCGAAGGAATTCCAGCAGAGACCCCGTACCGATTTGTCTGAGCATGCTTGCTCCTCACATTGGCATAGCATTTCTCAGGGCTCCAGCATCAAAGTCGATTTCTTTACATGCAGAGGCCCTGCTCTCAGGCAGATCTCAGACCGGAACGGCGAGTAACTGGCTAGGGAACAGTTGCTGAGGAATCCGCAGCATCAACTGGATGCAGGCCACTCCTGTACTTATGCGCTTGCCTTAGCTTCCGTGGTGGACTGTGGCGTCGGGTGTCCTGTTGGACCACCCAGGTGAGGAACTGCATAGCTTGCGAGGGCTGCAGCGCTGCCCCTCACCACCGTTAATACGTGTCTTCCGACTGACAGTAGACTTTGGAGCCAGACTGCGCAGAAATGACAGCAGTCGGATCCCAAGTGCATCCGGAATGTGGGACAGACTCGACAAGATGCTGAAGACATGGAATTCTGCACCGTTATGTCCCACAGTCCCTTGCATTGCTAGGGTCAAGCCCTTTCGCAGCGCTCGCCGCGGATATGATGATTCAGCTACGTGCAAAAGTGTTTCAGCTTCCAGTGATTCCAGTGCATGGTGCCGGCTTCTGGACTCGCATGAGTGGCACGCGTCCGAGAACGACGAAGAGACAGCACCTCCTTTCAACACTGCCGGATGCGGCAGAACTGGCTAGCTCAAGTACGGCCGTTGTCCCATGCCGGCACGAGGTCTGCAGCTAGGTGATCTGAACAGAACAGCCGTACGTGCACAGAGGTGCTCGTGAGCACTAGTAGGGGCACTGGAGAGAAAACTCGCGGTGTCCGCTGAAATTTCATTTTACCAAAGTGTAGTTGACAGCTGGAGAGTGCCATGGCGCACCGTGGTCGGGCTAACAGTGTGTTCTGAGGCTTTGATCGCAGCTGTTACAGCATGAGCGGTGTGTAGCGCACTGTCGCCCCAGACAGGACATGGTGAAGCAGAGGCTAGAGACTCAGCGTTTCGGCATGTGCGGTTACTGGGACTCCCGATGTGTCCTCGATGCACGACAGGCGTGCAAAGCGCGACTCCGATCAGGTCTTGACGTTCGACCCGGCAAGCAGGCGCGTCTCTCGCCGCTTTCTTATACTGTTGCACCAACGAAGTGATCGGATTTGCAGGCAGTCTTTCCTTGCCGGTTTTCGCAAGAGGAAGCAGGACCCGCACGAAACCGCGGGTGCTGTCAGCTTCATGCCCACAGCCCACATCATCGACATTTATCGCAGTCTTGACGCGGGATCCCAGTTGCATCGTGCCGCTGTCGATGCACGGGAGGGTACACAAGGTTGTTTTGGGTTTAGGGTTTCCTGCAGCCCCGGCAGCTAGCACATGTGAACGGGTGGGTGACGAACTCGAAGCGCAAGCTTCTGGTCCAGCTGCCCCACACAAGACGTTGTTCCATCGATCATCAGGATCGCCGGAAGTGGGCCGTGCGTGAGATACTTGAGAAAGAGCGACAGGACGTGCTGCAATCCGTGCATTGACGACTCTTGGTCACCGGAGCTGGTGTCTCCCTCTCGGTCGCAGGACCGCATTGAAGCGAAGAAGGACCACAGGCAGGACGTGAAGCAACGCTGGAAGGACATCACCGAACAGACAGGCTGAGGGCCGAGGGCTGAGGGCAAAAGTTTTTGCATCCCAGGACCTCCAGCGGGCGGAAAAGCGGGTGGAGGCGCTCCTGGGCCCGGCAGAGGACTGGATCCCGAACAGATCAAGGCTCATCAAGGCTCAAGGCGCCCCTTAAGCCTCACCAATGTCTTGTGAGTCTTCTGTTTCAGGAGGTTGGCTGGCTCGGAGACCTCCGTTCTGAAAAGCTCAAAGACGAGGAGGCGCTCAGGGGACTTGCGGCACTGTGCGGCCAGTAATTCAACACGGCAAGCGGCAGGTTCCCGTCACTGTTGCCTTCGAAGCAGAGGCCTGCAGACAGAGAGTGCCCGCAAACATCCTGTCTGTTCCCTTTAAAGGAAGACGATCCCTTTGGAGACTGCGAAGTTACAACTACCATCGCGGGAGCAGGGTGACCAAGCTTCTTCTGAATCCCTGTGGCATCCATGACTTCCATGCTCCCAGACTGAGAGTTCAGTTGCTCTAGGTGTCTGATGGGGCTGGTCGGCATCGGCCTCGAGGCTTGAAATGCTGTCACTTCTGGCACGGGGTCATTCCGCTCAGGCACCTTCCTCTGGCCTTGGTTGGGAAGAGTGGCAACGCACTTTCCGTTCTTGGAGGCGGCAGAGAAAGCGCTACAGACTCTGCGGTTCCATGCGAGTGCTTGCACAGAACACCCAGGACAGGCCGGACTCCTCCGAGACTTGACAGGTATCCCACAGGACCCGAGCTGTCCTGCCATGCCGCCGACGGAGCATTTCACGCTTCAGCTTCTGAGATCGAGGAGGACCCGCAAGCCAGATCGAAGAGGCAGCTTCGGATGCCCAGTCATTAGGAAGCCGTGAGATGTTCTGATGGTGCGTTCTCCAGTTCTCCAGGCGGTTCATCTCAAGCGAGAAAGAGGAGAGTCGCCGTCAGACAGCTCTGGACAAGACCGTGTCGCTGCTTGGACTTCATCAGCACGAAGTGCGCACACAACCAAGCTTCTCTTCTGCCGGAGGAAAAAGCTAAACACCAAGAACCAGGGCCCCAAGAAGAAGAGCAAGCGGGCCAAGGCCCTTACATGTTTGGGGGTCCTGAAGTATCGTTTTCCGCTCAGCACTTTCACAGGGCTCCAAGGGAGGCAAGCGCACGGAGCCCAGCAGAGAACCTCAGAGCATCTTAGAGCCTTGCAAGATTTGGCGGAGGCCCAGTGGGCCGGAAGGAGCGGCGAAAGCGGATGAAGAAACGCGGTTGAAAACGCTCTGGGCAGCTCGCAGTTCCTTGTCCAAGTGCACTTCAGCGAGATGAGTTGCTTTCGACATCTTTCGCCGCTCTCTCGTGCAGCTTGCTGAGCGTCGTGCACACATGTGTCAAAGCAAGCTTCTGGTCATCTTTACTTCAGGCTTTGAGTTTCCGACGGTTCGTCCGCACTTGAGGGTTGACATGTGTCGGAGAGTACCCCCGAATAATGGCATGCTGCTCAAAGTTTCGGGACATGCCTGCATTCGCGCACAAGACGAACATCCCTCGATGGATTCCCTGCTTGAATGGTAACGTGTGACATCGTGTGACTATGCACCGTGCGAAGAGAGCACCGCCTGCGCCCAGCGTGGCCCTCGGCCTGGTGAAGTGAGAGAAGTAAGGGGACGCTTTCAGCTGTCGAGGCTTGCAGGAGTGGCTGCAAGGTCCGGAGCTGGAGGAGTATCCGATGCTTGGCTCGTGCCTAGGGTCGTAGAGTATCGTAGAGTAGTTCTGAATGAACGAGGCGTTCCAGCCTGAAGTAAGGAACGCCGTCAAGCTCGTGACCAGTCCGACCTCTCCGTGTCTTGTTTCGCACTTGCTGCGGTGTTGTGGGGTTTCCAGGCTTTCTGCTGTCGCTGCGAGGCACTACAAGGAGTTCTTGGCAGAAGCTGCCGAGGCATGGCTCGCCGAAGTCCAAGTCAAGGAGATCCAGGGAGCTCCTTCTGCTTTTCCCCACAGAGCTGTAGCTGCGATGGAAGATGAAAGCCGGAGCCGAGGTCGCATATGACATTCAGTGGACTCCGGACTTCGAGGAAGGTAGTGACAATCCAGTAGCGACTCAGCTTGACTCGGCTGGGCATGCAGCTGCCCAAATCCGGAGCAGACTGTGAATCACTTCAGACAGTTTGCACATGAACTTGGGGTCGATCTAGGCATGCGATCAGGCAGGTAATCTCAGCACGCCGCCGGGGGCAAGCTTTCAGCGTTTCAGCTCTGTCTGTATTTCAGGCACTTCTGCAGCTGGCATTTCCAAGCTCCGGTTGGCCACTCAGAGTTAGCAACCCCGGAAAGCTGATGATCCTGTCACAACGGAGGTAATACTTATGTCTTGCAGCTTCCGCTTCTCGGGAGCTTTCCGAGCAGAGCGAAGCATCTCTTTCAGAGCGGGGCTCCCAGAGCAGCGCCACGGCATTTTTGTGACTTACACCAGAAAACGTTGAGGCCCCGCCGTGTTGGCAATCGGCTTTGCCGCCAATGCGATGGACAAGCACAAGCTGGAGATCTCCGGAGTGCAGGCAAGGGGCTTCTACCAACGAGAGGACGGAATGAAAGGGAGAGCATCGGCTCGGCTTGCCCTCTTCGAGTATTGTAGAAGGGAAGGAAAGGAAGAAAGAAAGTGTTTGTGTGTGTGGGGGAACCCCTGTACCTAAGAGTATCTGATTCGCAAGCCAATCTGATTATGAAGCAAACAGGGGGATGGGACGTGCATCTGGGAATCCCATCCACCGAAGCTGCCCAGATGCATGGGATACCAAGCTTGGCCAGCTTGGCGTACCTGCTGTTTCACACGAGGTGTTTTTTAGAAGAAGAAAGACACCAACCCACAGAGTTCAAGATTGGGCAACCGCCACCTTTTCTTGAGGTGAGCCGGTCTACTTGCACATGTGGTCGTGGGTCGGTAAGTCTGACAAGGTCGCGGCCGTGATGGTCTTCGGATCCGCCCTATACATCCGCAGTGCTTTTCGTGTTCCACTTCCTTACTCAGTCCCCAAAAAAGCCCCTTATCTGAGGTTTTTGTTGATCTGACTCAGCTTTGTGAATCAGCATGCTGGCGGCTTCTGCAAGCAAGCTGTCCTGACCTGCGGCCGTTGGCTCTTTTGTGTTAGGGCCCTTGAGCTTTTACGCTACCGAGTGTTAGCAGCCGAAAAGAGAGATAGTGCAGCCATTGCTTTTCGCTTGCGCGGTTTCAGTTTGTCATCAGTTGGCACCGGAGCCGCGGTTGGACCAGGGACCTTTCCCTCTGGGCGGCTGGACTTCGGCCTCCTTTACACGATTCGCCGGAAGACCTTCGTGACCGGCGCGCTGCGGAGTTCGAGCCCTACTAAGCGTTTCTCCGGAAGCTCTTCGTAAAGGGGCGTTGTCCTGAGGGCTTTGCTGAGCGAGCTGTGCCTGGAGGAGTTTCGCCACCATGGCCGGAGCGCAGGCTCAGGCGGAAGGAGGCTGGGTTTATCGTGACAAGGACCCACCTCCAAGCTACGACGGCACCAACCCACAGAGCAAATTCAAGCCCTACCTCCGTGACCTGGAGCTATGGCAAGCGGCCACGGATGTGCCTCAGGAGAAGCAGGGCTTGAAGTTGGTGCAGGTTTTGTCTGGGGCAGCCAAGGCTGCGGTCGACACACTGACGGTCAAGGAGATTGAGGGCGACGAGGGCTATGCCAACGTTCTCAAGAAGTTGAAGGAAGCGTTCGAGCCCTACATAGAGACGGCCTTGCCCAGGGCGATGGAAAATGCTTTCTACGGCCAGCCGAGAGGACACAAGGAGAGCATGAGCGAGTTCCTCATCCGCTTCCAGAGGGCACAAGCGGTGCTGAAAGATGAGGGCATCACCCTGCCTAGCAAGGCGACGGGCTGCCTTCTGTTCAGGCAGGCCAACCTGGACAGCGAGCTGGAGGCCCGGCTGGTTACGTGGCTTTACGTGGCTTGGCGGGGACTACTCCTTGGACACGGTGACCACCAACCTCAGGCGATTGGAGCGAGTGCACGCCGACGGCAGCAAGAAGACCTTCTGGGCAGAGGACGGCACGGCCGAGGACGCCCTCGACCACACCACGGTGGAGACTTACCTCGGCGCCCCGGCCGAGGACGAAGACGAGGACGACGAGAACTGGGTTTACCTCGAGGAGGGCGAGCTCGACCAGGTTTTGGAGGAAGACGACGTCCTGGAGGCCCTCGCTACTTACCAGCAGGTTCGGCGACAGATCAAGGAGCAGAAGTTGGGCCGTCAGTTTTTCAAGCCCGGCGACTTTGGCTCAGGCAAGGGCCGAGGCGCCAGTGGGGGCCGCGACCGTTCAAAAGGGTTTGGCCGTGGCAAGGGGGACGGTAAGCACAGCAAGGGAGACAGCCGCCGCATACACATCGAGCAGCTGAAGTTGAGAACGCGGTGCCGCAATTGCGGCCAGGTGGGGCACTGGCCTCGAGAGTGCAAGGCCCCGCCTTTGGCTTCTTCCCCGTCTTCCCGGCAGCCTTCGTCAGCAGCCACGGGCTCGGCAACGACTGGTTCACAGCGGTCCAGCTTTTACTGGACAGCTCCTCCCGACAAAGAGGGGGCAGCTACCTTCTTTACCTTTCTTGACGCGTTCAAGGAGACGAGCAAAAAGCCCGCGACCGAAGTCAGCGTCCCCAGCACCTTTGTAGTGACAGCAGACCACCAGGGCCTCGTGGACACAGCAGCCCAAGAAGGGCTGATTGGGCGGAGTGCTTTGTTAAGGCTTATGTCGGTACTTCGCAAACACAATCTTCGAGCCCACTGGACAAACAAGGAGGCAAGTGCTCGAGGCATAGGAGGAAATGCTCGTACCGTTGGAGTATGCGAACTTCCTGTGGGTGTTGCAGGCATACCAGGGGTACTAGAAACCACGGTGGTATCAGATGATGTTCCTCTTTTATTGCCGGTGTCTCTGCTGAAAGCCCTGGGTGCCGTTGTGAACATGCCCGACTCTAAGCTGCAGCTCACGGCCGTTAACGCAGAGTGCCCTATGGTTTCTATGGCTTCGGGGCATTTGGCGGTTTCTGTTGTTGACTTTGGGCCGGGTGGCTGGAGCTTACCCTCAGGGTGCCAGGGAGTCAGAAGTGAGCAAGACTTTCGTTTGAGCGGCGAACGCGGATCGCAGCAGCAACTTGGCTTTCACTCAATGTGTGTGCCCCCGGCTACCTGCTATCTCGCGCAACATGCTCGCCTCCCTGGCTCTCCAAGCGGCTTCCCGACCTCAACAAGAACGGCGACGACGAGTTCCAGACCGCGCCAGGTTGGCTTTAAGAAACTGGCGGGTCATCTTGGACAAGCTTTACTCGGTTGTGCTTTGGGGGCGGTTGCATACGGCGGTGTCGGACTGGATGGGCCCGGCTCCTTTGCCGCAACCCGCGAGCCGTGCCTCGGCGATTTCCTCCGGCGACGTGGACCTGGCCCTGGCCCCGACCAACAAGGGCAAGCTCTACCGGGACTACCTCGACCAAGGCCCCAAGAAGCTTGCCAAGATCAAGGGGATCCCGGCCGTGGACCCGGAGATTTGTCAGCACGAGGCTCGTTTCCTGAAGGGTGGTGGCAATGGGCACCAGAATTGGATCCACTGCTCTCACTGCCTGGATCGTTGGCTGCTGTCGCCCCGGACAGCGAGCATTGCGACAGGCCGTGCTGTGGAGGAGGTGCCCAAAGCCAAGGCCAAGCTGAGGACGTTGCGGCCCAAGCCTCTGGAGGATGCGACCACCGAGAAGCGCAGCGCCAGCCCGAAGCGCAGCCAGGGCAGCATGGAGAACAGCGACTGGCGGATGCTGAGCGAGAGCGACTACGTGA